TCTGATAAACTCTTACATGCATGTGTGTTTGAGTGCATGCATGCATGGGGAGGGGAGAAAGAGAGAGGAGAGACTTTTATTAAGGTCAAGCATCTATAACAGTGGTGGGGCTACTGTCAGGTGGCATATGTGAAAGCCTTCTTTCACAACAGTTTGTTAGGGCAGCTGCTGTGTCCAGCCGCAGAGAGGACCAAGGGAGGATGCCTTCCCCCCTCCAGTACTTGTTACTACTTGTCTTTGGTTACCAGTAGCTGGCTGCATTTTATTGTGTTTGCCCTAGAAGCTAATGCACCCTTGTAGCAAAGAACCTAACTCATTTTCTTCATGAAACAAGATTCCCAGTTGAAGTAGATTTGAGGAAAAGGAGAACAAGGCTCTGATGACAGATCAACATACCACCTTGCAACAGTAATGGCTCCAAGCGAGCTTCCACAAAGGCAGAGGTGACTGTGAGCTACTCAGAGGTGCACACTGCAAAGTCAAGAGACTCCTTGCGCATGGCAACAGAAAAGTCCTCTGGAAAGAATCTTGGAAGAAGAAAGATGCAGCTGATTATGTACTGCTGTGCTTCTTCGTGGCCTCAGAATGGACCACAGCCAAGGATGAGTAGTGGTCATCCCCAAATCATATGTCTTTGAGTTTTCTCTCATTTCCATCCCAGGAAGCAATGGAAATGGCCATAACTTTCAGATTTTGATTCCTCACATCTGAGAATACCATTGGCAGAATGCCATCACCTTGCTTCTGGAACAAGGCAGGCCCTCCCAGTAACCACTGCGGTGGAGCTTTTCACTTGGTGAAGGCAAGATCCTTGCTTCCTGGGCCAACACCAAGCCTTTCTTTGGCCCCAGGACAAATCTCAGTCTCCCTGCAGCCCCCCTCCCTGGTGATTGTGAAGACAGGCCTACCTAAGTTTCTTCAGCTCTGCTGCCCCCAACCCCTCTCAGTTCTACTGAATCCTAGTGGCATTTGCATTGCATTCCAGATAGTATCTTTGTCCAGTGTGGATTTGGCAGAGGTGCCACGCACAACAAGAGACATTGCATTTTGGGGTGTTCTAGGGACCCGATTGAAGTGGTGCCTATCCAGAATACGTGAGAAAAAGTTCACATCCGAGCCCAGGACTAGCACCAAGTCTCAGAGCCCTGAATGAGGTTCTAAGCTTTGGTTCAAAGAGTTGGGAAGTGGCCGAGGGCAGGCTGACAGATGTCTTCCAATCTGGTGGGCCTTAGACCATCTCCATCTGGATCAGGTACGCATGGGACCAGTGCTGGCCAATGACATGAGGTTATAGCTCTGATTCTGAATAACAAGTATATATTTTTTTCTGTATTGCCTTGTTTTGTATTTTTAAACATTGGTCTGCACCATGTCACACAATTTCCTTTCTCCCTCCAACTATAGCTGATGAAATCCAATGGATTTGGTGCCTCTTAGCCCCATCTGTTTACAGGTGAGAATCAGACTTTGTTTCTGTAATCTCTAAAAAGAATGACACGTGAAAATGGCACACTCCTCTTTCTGTTTAAATAACGTTTTACTCTATGTTTCACAGAAAACTAGCAAGGATGGCACACAGCTTTCACACACAAACCCCAGTTCTCTCTCTGCTAACATCTGATAGCTTGTCTGCCAGCCAGGTAGTCACTGCCAGGTCCCCTACATTTTGACATTCTGGGGCTATCCTGAATCCCTGGCACGTTTGGTAATCACCTCTCAGTAGCCTTCTCTGGCCCATGAGCACTCCACAGATTTTCCTTATTTTTTATGGCCGTGAGAATTGGTTAGTTTTTTAATATATAAACTGTAATTGTCATTTATTGATTTATTCTAGGGGAGATTTTTTAACATTTTTTATTATGATGATAAAGGTGATGTACAGAGGAGTTATAGTTATATGTCAGGTAAAGAGTACATTTCTTTTTGGACAATGTCACCCCTTCCCTCACTCTCCAGTTCAGGAGAGATTCTTAGCCTAAGGACAACAGCATTTCTTTAGCTGAGGCATTTGCTTCATCTTTAACTTGTGTTAAGCATTCCTTCCTAGGTATTATGGTGAGTAGAGAATTCATACTGAATTTTTTTGTTGTAGTTGTTGTTGGTGGTGGTCTTGGGGCTTAAACTCTGGGCTGGGCGCTGTCCCTCAGCTCTTCAGCTGTAGGTGAGCACTCTACCACTTGAGTCACAGCACCATTTATGGTTTTCTGTTGGTTCACTGGAGATAAGAGTCTCACACATGTTCCTGCCCCAGCTGGTTCTGAACTGTACTCCTTAGATCTCAGCCTCCTGGGTAGCTAGACTTACATGGCTTTGCGAGTTTTGAGGAGTCTTTGCCTGATGCTTTTCTCATGATCAAGCTTGGAGGGAGGCTGCAGAGGCAAGAGTATGCTCATCTTGTCACGCTGAGTAACAGCTACCAGTGACTGGTGTCTGAGGCTGGCCTGAGGCTGCTTTGTGGTGTTTGCAGAGCTCTCCCCGAAGAGGCTCCTCTCTACTGCAGGAAAAGAGGACACTGGAGTCCAGGGACCAAGAGTTTGGCTCCTCCTTCACCTGCCTCATATGGCACCCTTCTGTACCCATGTCTTCTTCCTTGTGCCCTCTGGGATGGACTTCCAGGGCACAGAAGCTTCTCCATGTACCGCTTCCCAAGGCTGTGGTGACTGCTAATGGAAGCTCCATGAACTGAACCCCAAGAGAGGCAATGGTGACAGGTTCAGCTGACCTGCAATGGGTACGTAATGTGAACAAGAAGCACATCTTTGATGAACTGAGCTGTGGAGCCCTCAAAGTGCTTGTTACAGCACCGTAGCCAAGCCAAGGCTGAAGTTTCCTAGAGGGAAGACATGGGAGGTGAGGGCTATAAGTCACCTGAGATGCACCTGATGGTTCTGCTTTCCACCTTCTCACAGTTCTCTGTAAGAGGCAGTCTCTTTGCCTCACCTGCTTTTCTCCTCCTTGTGGTGAATTTGGACAGCTCTGCCAGGTTCAGTTCAAATGTCATCTCTTTAATGAAATCTAATTCTTTTTCCCTTCCAGGAAGAATAATCATTACCTCCTTTTGTCCAACTTAGAAAATCATATTCATCATTGAATGTCTGACTCAAGGATCACCTTTATTTTCTTAGTAACTTGCTGAAGCTACCATGGAAAAATATCTGAGTGGTTTAAACACTATTTCTCACAGTCCTTGAAGTGGAAGTTCAAGAGCAAGAAGCAAGCAGGATGGTCTTCTTGCTGGGCCCTCACCTGGTCATTCCATGTATGTGGCATAATCTCCTCTTCCTATAGGACAACAGTGTGATTAGATTTTCATCTACCTATATGACCTAATTCCATTTATTACTGCTTTAAAAGGCCCCATCTTCACATTCTGAGTCACTAACAAAATGTGAACTTCAAGGCAGGGGCATAGTTAAGTGGTAAGGTACCTGTTTAGCAAGTGCAAGGCCTCTGTCACCTCTACCACAAAAAAAGAGAAAATAAATTTATGAATTTTTAAAAACACATTCTCATCATGTTTTATGCTTCATCTTTTCCTCACTCCCTTTTTATTTCCTTTCCCCTTCCACCTGTTTTGTATGAAAACGTAAGTTGATGCCTGAACTTTTGGTAAAATGAAAGAACAATGTCCTTAAGCAACACTCAGTGGACCAAGGAGGGCAGGTGGATAGTTACATGAGGATGTGACCCCTCACAACCCTAGGGGCCTAGGGTTTCCTCTCAAGTTGCTGGTGTCTCAGTGTGGAGTGGTTGGCAGGTTTACTCACAGAAGGACCGATTTAGGGTCCGTTCATCTCACATACTGAAGCTAAGCCTTAATAGAGTCCACAGGGCCATGGACTCACACAGGCAAACCCCAGGTTGAAACCTACTAGACAGTCCTTGTACTTAACATCCACTTTCTGGCCTGAAATGCTTCCTGACAAGGAGGTGACTAGTTGTAGGGATAGCTTCTGGTTTTAAGAGCTGGGTTCAGCAAAGCATTCTCAACTCAGTTAAATGTAGCTAATTAGTCTGAGGATATTTTTTGTTTTTCCTTTCAATGATTGTAACCAAGATGTTTTTTCTAGACCTCACATTCTTACAATGTTTCCTCACTCCAAGCACAGCCTCCTCTGCTCTCTGGGCCACTGGAACAAGAAGCCACTCACCCCAAATCTATCTTCTCCTCACAGCCCTTGTCCACTGCTTTAGGTCTTCTTTATACTTCACACAGTAGTCATTGTGTGGGCCAACGAAACACTGTTGCAGGACTATCACGTAGCTCAGCACATAAGCAGTTCTCGTGGTGTGCGTCTCTTTTCTCTTTGGATGATATCAGTATGTAGATTACCACAGTTATACTTTCCTCGGTTGCACCCAGTGCTTGTTTCTGCTTTTTCCTTTCTCAGACTTTTTCCCATCAGATTTTATGGGTGTGTAAACAGCAACCATAGGAGGTGTAGCAAGGCTTCTATCAACCAGCTTCCTACCAGAAAAGAAATGACATACCTAAGGGTATCTGAAAATACTTAAGTGGCAGTTATCTTGAAAAAGAACAGGATTAGGAGCCCAGTAGGAAGTCGGGGTTTTATGAGCCTAGGCCTGATGGGGAGCCTGGGAACAGCCAGGAAACTCAGGAATCTTGGGCTTCAGCTATGCCACTGAGTGTCCCAGGCCTTCAGCTTCTGTCTCCCTCCACTGTGCCTGTGGACTCTGGATACTTAACCTGGCATCCTCAGGACTCCGCCTGTAGAGAAAAGCAGGGCATTGGGGCTCTCTGGTCCTTTCAACACTAAACATCCCTGGAGGCTGGAGTCCAATACATGGGGAGACCAGCTCTTACCTACCAGGACTGAAGGCACAGAGGTGTTTATCAGCCTCACAAGTTCCTGTGTTGAATAAGTGTCCCATCAGTGGGATGTATGCCTGAAATGTGACAATGCTTCCCAACCCATGCCAAGGCACATGCTGAGAGCTTCTGCTCTTGTTAAAACAGGCAAAAACAATTGTGTCCACAGGTCAGAATTTATTTCATACTATCTCATTTATAGCATTTTCAAGTACAAGATTTTGCTTGATGTCATTGACATATGAGAACAGAAAAGCACAACTTGGTAAGGCACCAGGTTACGACAGTCTACAGAGGAGGCCCGGGTCCTTTTTTGGCTTGTGAGACTCCTGGGTAGCTGCTTGAAAATTTGTCAAGCAAAGAACAAGGTTATAAAAGGCTCACTTGTATACAAGTGGTAAAAAGAGATGACAGTTTTGAAGCCCAGCGCAGTGTGTTGCTATCATGTTGGCTTACTTAGACTGTGAGGATTAGGCTCAGGAGGCATTCTCTACACATCTTCTAGGACCCTTTCTGAGACACCAAGCTGCATATTTAGCCACTTTTCAGCTCAGAAGCAAAGCACCTTTACACTGAACTCAAACACATACTTGGAATGATTTACCAGCCCAAGTCCCTACCTTCATAAATAAATAAGAATGGGGAAAACTTCTAAGTACACCGTACCTTATAAAATGCATATTATAAATTGCCACCACTAGATTTGTGGCACAAATGGTCCAGGCATATTGAACCCTGGATCAGAGCTTCCAGAGTTGGGCCACATAGTATCCTTCACACCACTTCCTCAGAGGCCCAGAGGCAGGGAGTGCAGCCTTAAAAAGGTTTTGTTCTGTCTTAAAAACTAACTTGCTTGTACTCCATTAGATCTGCTTTAATACTTTTAAAATTGTTTACCAGGGACATACTTTGCCCCTTTCCATGCTTTTGCACACAGGCCAGGCAGAACCCCAACTAGGAGGCTGCCTGTAGGAATGTGATCTGTTAAAATCATTTCCCCAAATGAAGTAATGCTATTTGCTCAGGTTGCAACTGAACACCTCAGGAAACTAAAACTGATTAGTTTCGATGTGCTAAGAAATCAACAGCAAACAATACATGGATTTTAGTGGTTTGATGATTAACCTTTGATAAAGGAATCTTTAGCCCTTTTTACAAATAGGAAGAAAAGCAGCTCCTAACCTGAACTATGGCCTGATATTTTACTTTTTTCTATAGAAAAACAAAAAAACTGTCTTTTTAAATATGAGAAAGATAATATGAAATACACTGAGTGACAAGACTGTTGCCTGCTGGATGTAACTGTCCCAACCAGGGCAATACAGACACTATGATTCAGTGTCTGGTCACCTGTGTCATCCTGAAAATGCCCAACAAAGTATGAATGGACTCTGCTGACACAAGACTGTCCTCAAAACAATCATCCTGAAGACCCCTACCTTAAAGGACATGTGCTACCAGTGTAGTTCCTTTTTGGTCTTGTTTGAGTATAGTTCTTTTGACTATCCCATGGCAAGAAAGGTACTGCTGAGCCATTACCCCTATAGATACCCGGCCCCCTGGCCCTGACATGCTATCTCTGCTACAGGGACAGTAATGCAGAACCACTGGGACTTGTGGCACTGGGGACTAACTGGTGGCTTTAACAGGTCTCAAGAGACGTTCTTCTTACTTTCTAAAACATGTGGTTGAAGATGTGTTAAAAACCACTTATTGGGTACTTTCAAAGAAATAAGAAACTGTGCTGTTTCTATATGTTCTGCTTTCTCTGCTGTCTAAAGCCTAAGCAGCAGTAAACCAGCCACCTACACATGCATCTGTATGTGCATGTGCCATGTGCCTGTGCCTGTTTTTGGCTGACTCAGAAGAACAGGTGTGTGAGCCTCATAAGTGTGGCTGTGGCTTGGTTCTCCCTGCAGATGGCATGATGGGAGTGTGGAAGCTAAGAGTGCCTGTCCAGGAGGCTCCCTGTGCTCCACTCACCAGGAGAAAGGCAGTCTGGCACACAGACCACACTCTTGATCTCTGAGTTGCTCATGTTGTTCCATAAAGAAAACAGATCATCAGTGCCTGCCTCCTGCAGGGCATTCCTAGTCATTTCTAGTGGTATCAACACAACTGGTCTAAGGATGGAAAACCCCAATGAACAAGTTTGCTCTTTGGTCTATACAGTGCCAGTAGTGAGATGTTTTTTGTTTTAAAGTCTTCAGCAACCTAATATAGCAGTAAATGATGAAAGGGACAGGCATGAGGTTTGCAGGATGAACTCTCGTTTTCTCAGACATATGCTCCTGGAGAAAACAGGTCTGGTTTGTGTGGTTTCTAAGCAGGGGAGTTGTTCTCACCATGACTGGTCTGTGCACGTAATGCATAGGCATCCAGCAACCCTTATACAAGAGAGGTTGTTAGGCACAATTGTCCTCCTGGCCCTTCTGTACATTCTAATGCAGCAGAACTTCCATCTGGACATCCAGCTTTAAGGAGCCCTTTTCACATTAGATATAAATGAACCCAGAAATCTACAGCATAAATTTCCAGAATTATTGAAAACATTTTAACTTAATTTCAAAGCTTCTTTAGCTCATCTTGCATAAAAAATCCCTAAGCTCACACAAACAAGGAAACTAAAGGATGACAGAGTCATGTGTTTAGGGCTCTTCCAATGACCACGCGCACATGCTACATGAGAGTCATTGGAGCTCACAAGGCTTCTGACAGCAGCTCCCCAGAGTCACGCCAGGCAGCAGTACTTTCTCCACCAGGGCTTGGACAGGTCCCGTACTTTGTCTGGGGTCCGGCTCTTACACTTCTGACAGCAGCTCCCCGAGAGTCACGCCAGGCAGCAGTACTTTCTCCACCAGGACTTGGACAGGTCCCGTACTTTGTCGGGGGTCCGGCTCTTACACTTCTTTGGCTGTTGCTGGGAGTCTGAGTGCTGGATGCCAGCAACAATGGCAGCGTCAAAGACCTCTTTGAGGTTTTTTTGAGTCAAGGCTGAGCACTCGATGTAGGAGGCAGCTTTGATTTCCTCAGCACACAGCTTTGCTGCCTCTTCAGGCACTGGCTTCTCTTTGCATTTGTCCAGTTCGATAAGTACTTTGACATCTTCTCTGAGATCTGACTGTGTCCCAACCAGGATGATGGGGGCCTTGGGGCAGTGGCACCGAATCTCAGGCACCCACTTCTCACTGACGTTCTGGAAAGATGCAGGGCTCACCACACTGAAGCAAAGCAGAAAGATGTCTGCATTGGTGTAGCAGAGGGGCCTTAGCCTGTCAAACTCATCCTGCAAACCAAGCACACACAATTACCCTCAAATCACCTCTCACCATCAAAATACCGTCTTAACATGTGTCCAAGGCCAGCCTAGTCATAGAAAACCCATCGTTCTGTGGGGAAGAGTCACGGTCTCAGACTCAACTGTCGGCTCAGAGGATATAGTTACAACTGCCATCTGCTCCCAAATCCAGCATGGCCCTAACACCAAAAATAATTTGAATCCATTTGGTGCTCATGACTGACATGCTGCATGCAGCACAAAGGCTCCTGAAGTACACGAGTCTGAAGACAGTTCGTTTGATCTGGACCTTAGCCCAGAATCATTCTCAATTTCGGGGACTTGGGTTACTCTTTCGAAACTCAGAGTGCTTTCCCACGCTGGTCCAGAACTCCACTTCTACCCTAGCAAACCACATATACTAGCACAGCTCTTACAACCCCACCTCTGCTCTTCCCCATGAGCACAATGAATGGTGCTGGTCCGTCCCAAAGCCCTGAGCCCAGACAGTAGAGAATGACGTTCATCAGCCACAAGCACTCAGCAATCCAGGAGAGGAGTTGGGGACCCTGTGAGGCTACAGTCACTGGCAACTCAGAGAACTTATGCCCTTCACTGTATCCACAGGTACCAATGGACACGTTCTTATTCTGTCTTCTCTTTCACACTCTATTTTCTCTTGTTCCTTGCTTCATCTCTGCAAACGTCCAAGGGTTTAACATACTGTGCTGTGGATTGACAGTAGACCACAGAATGGACATACTTTCCCTGTAGTTTACAGCAAACTAGACAAATAAGGGAGAGTGGATTATAAGTACACTAAGCAGCCTTGCTACTACTGACAAACTAAGCACCATCCAAAGCCAGGTACATGCACATAGAGTGTTTTGGTTGAGGAAGGACAAATATCAGTCTTCGATATATATGTCCTCTTCAATATATATATATTATACACACACACGTGCACACACACACACACACACACACACACACACACACACACACATCCTCCTTTGGAACATCAGGCAGTGCCCTGCAGCACCGTAATTGACTTCTATCCAACTCTGTGAAAAGTGCTCACATCGTCTAATTCTGGATAAATGTGTGTGTAAGCCCAGTATAGTGGCACAGAAGCACTGAAGCAGGAGGACCAGGAGTCTGAGGCCAGCCGGGGTTACCTAGCAACAATGTGTCTACAAAATAAACACATAAACAAGCTGGGTGCAGTGGCTCATACCTGTAACCCTAGGTACTTGGGGAGAATGAGGTCAGGATTGTGGACAAAAAGTTTACAAGCCCTTCATCTCAAGAGAAAATATGGGTGTAGCAGGAAGCAGGAACAGGAGGAGCACAGTCCACTGACCCAGGCAAAACCTGAGACCTTATCTCAAAAATAATCAAAGCAAAAGGGCTGGAAGTGTGGCTCAAGAGGCAGAACGCCAGCCTAGCAAGTTCAAACCCCAGTACCACAATAAATACACAAACACACAAATAATCTGAAGGTACCCTTGTCCTCAAACTTTGTTGATGACTCTCCTTATCAGCAAGAAAAAGTTAAATATTATGTTTTCCATTACTCAAGCAGTGTGCTCTGGTGATCTGTGGAGTCCTATTTACAGGCACATTATGACTGTTTCTAGGGGTCTGAGGGGATCTGTATCAGTCTTACATGAATGTCTTTTCTTTAAGTTCCCTGTTTCCACTGTAGATCAACAAACCACTAACTACACTAAGGTTGAGCCTGGTAGTCCCTGCCACTTGTGAGGCTCCTGTAAGTAAAATCCGTTTTGTTTTTGTTGTTTTTTAAAGTGAACTTTGTGCTGAAAGAACAAGTGCAGAAGCTCAGCCAGGTGGCTGCCCTTTCTGTGAGTCGTTCCTCTGCCTCGAGCCTTGGGAAGGAGGCCTCTGATTGCTCAGGCAGCTCCTCCAGGGGAGGCTGTCACTTGGCTAAACCCTGGAACCATCAGTGGCCCTGGGACCTGGTAGCTTTGGTGTGGAAAGTTGCGCCTCAGAACTCCTGAGATTCTGGCCAGGGGGATTAGAGAATAAAACAGAAACTGAGCCTACCCGCACAGAAACCTGTGGCCAGAGCCTTAGATGAGCACTGCAGTAAGGCGACGCATGCTCAGGCACAGGGCCACCTGGAACACACCCTTGAGGGGTCCCAAGGCCGAGCTACCACATGCACACGAGGCCTGCAGTGTAAATGCCACAAAGAATTCCATCAGGGCAATACTAGCAGAGGCCGGAGACCAAACTGTTGTATCCCTACACTCAGATTAATGAGCACTACTATTATTATTACTTTAGTGGAAAGATTTCCCCAGTACCTCATAGGTCAAAAGGCTGGAGAATTTCCAGTCCACTGATTTGTCACTTGAGCACACTCTATGACAACACCACAGGATACTGACGGCTACTGTACCTGCTGGGGAGGGAGTTGGTGTGCAGCCCTAGAGCTTTTCAGGGGGCCTTTGAGGGGCTCCACACCCATGCCTCCTGCCCTACTCCCTGGCTATTTACTCCAGGGCCTGAGCCTCAGAGATCAAGCACTCCACAACTGGCGGGAGTATCCGGTTCATTCCTTCTCCGGCTCAGGGCTGTGCTGACCTCTTTATCTCTGCTGCAGAGCTGGGGGCTGATCCTGGCAAGGGAGGCAATCAATGAGCAAAGCTCCAGCTTTCCCTGGAGCAACTTTCTTCAACATCTGGCTTGTTGGCATTAAGTAAAATGGTAAGAAGATACTACTTTGAGAAACAATTAAAAATACTGTTACATTTTCTTCCAGTAAAAACCAGAAAGTGAAAGATATCAGAAACAAGTTAAGACAAAGGCTGTTTCAGGGTAGGCTCGGCTGCCCTCCCCTGCCTCCTCCCTGTCCTCAGAGGGGCCACAGCTGGGCCAGTCTGCCTCACCAGTCTCTGGAGTGACCCAGTTTCTAAGGGGAACACGTCAAAGGTTGTTGGAACCCTTTAAAAGGCTGTTTCCTTCCCAGCAGCGAGGGAAACGTGATCCTGACCTGTCCGGCGGTGTCGCAGAGCTGGAGTCGCACCGGCCGCCCGTCCACGGACACCACGGCTGGAAGACAAGAGCAAGACGACTGTGAGGTGGCCGGGCCGTGGGCAGTCTGCTCTGCCACCCTCGCTCCAAACCTGGGCTCCGGCTCCAGCCCTCCAATGAACTAAAAGTCTGGCTCAGATCATGAGGCCACCCCACAGGCCACACAGCCAGGGGCCCTGGGACATTACTCCCCCAAGGGTGCCCTGGTACCCTTCTCTCACCCTGGGAGATTTATCTTCCTGCCACACTCCCTTCAGAGCCCTGAGAGCAGCGCAGGGATAGGAGGCAGGGGGTGGAAGGCACGGGGTGGAGACAGGGGAGGGGGAGGCAGGGGAGGGGAGGCAGGAGGGGGGAGGTGAGAGGGGGGAAGGTGGGGGGTAGAGGGGGAGGGAGGAAGGTGGGGGTGGGGAGGGGAGGGGGGGGGAGGCAGGGTGGGGAACCAACCCTGCTGGTGTACAGCAGTGGGAAACAGGAAAGATAATTATGTTGTCCCTCGGGAAAGGTCCCCTGACCCCAGGGTTTATCGCAACCCCGGCTGCTTGGAGAACGTGTGCAGACACAGGCGCTTAGTGGCCTGGGTGCGCACTGCCCTGTACCCTCCCAGGGCTCGGGAGAGAAGAGGGGAGGGCCACCCATCTTTCCTGGAGGGCTGTATAACCTGCAGCTAGCAAAGCACTCCCCCCCACTCCGTGTTGTCTGGTGTGTGTGTGAGTCTGGTGTGTGTCTTGTGTGTGTGTGCATCTGGTGTGTTGTGTGTGTGTCTGTGTGTGTCTGGTGTGTGTGTGTCTGTGTGTGTGCGAGGCTGGTGTGTGTGTGTGTGCATCTGGTGTGTGTGTGTGTGAATCGGGAGTGTGTGTGTGTGGTGTGTGTGTGAATCGGGAGTGTGTGTGGTGTGTGTGTGAGACGGGAGTGTGTGTGGTGTGTGTGTGAATCGGGAGTGTGTGTGGTGTGTGTGAGTCGG